TTATTCTTTTTAAATAAGAACACTGATTCCTGCTGCCCCCTCACTGGGGATCGGGCCCACAACCTGGGCATGTGCCCTGACCGGGAATCGAACCTATGACCTCTTGGTGCATGGGTCGATGCTCAACCACTGAGCCACACCGGCTGGGCAATGCTATTGTTTTCTTAATTTCATTTTTGAGTTGTTCATTTACCAATGTATAGAAATACAATTGATCTTTGTATATTCATCTTGTTTTCTGCAAATCTGGTTGAACTGGATTTTTATTTTTTTAAGAATCCGGGGGTAACAGCTGTGGAAGAATCCACATCATAAACAGACCCACCCTCATCCTCTGCCAAGCTGACTGCCTACTCACTGAGCCTGGGAAACCTGCTCCAAGGACTGCCTCAGGCATCAGCCACAGGAACGGGAGCTCCACTCTGTCCACTGCTCCAATGTGACCCTCTGCTGAGGAAGGGCAAAGTTATCTTCCATTTCTCTTCTCACCTTTTCTCAGCACCATTTAATAAACACAGAGTGGCTGGTACGCACTTGAATAAAAGAATCCACATTTGCACAACGGATCAGTTCAGGTTGACTGTTTTCATTACCTAGGTGTTTTTGCTTTTTGCAAAACAGATCACTGTGGCTTTCTGTAATGCATTTGGAATATGCCTAAGTCCAAGCTCTTTGTTTATGGGGTTTTAGAAACAACTCATTCATATCCAGGCACACCTGTAAACTTACATGAAGTAATACATCATCTTTATTTATTAAGTCTAGTCTACTCCAGAATGCCTTAGAGGGAAGGTTTGATGTTAATTTTGCCAACTGGGACGACATAGCTCAAGGCGAAAACAGACTAACACTGCATTTATCCCTTGTCTCCAGCACAGGGAAGTAACTGAAGTGGCACCTAATTAAATTACATTTGCTAAACATTTACTCAGCACCTGCTCTGTTCCAAGCAGACACTGCACAGGCATTAAGGACAGAAAGTACGAGAGGTGTGGCCACCACCTTCACGACCTAGTTGGAAAACAGCTGCACTAATAACCGAGACACAGTGTAACCCGGGATGTGAGGGGAATGCTGACACTGAGCCTGAGCAGCAGAGACGTGGGTAACAAGATTACCGTGGGAAGGAGATGAGCCTCCTAAAGAGTCAGAATGGACTCACTGTGCATGTGTGTGACAGTCTAAAAATTCTAATGGTCACTGTCAGGGTGCCTGCATAAGGAGCTGAAGCCACCAGTCTCCTTAGTGCTCAGGCTGTGCTCTGAGGCATGCGGACCCTCCTGAGAGGCTCACCTTCCCGGCACCAGACTTCAAGGTAAACAGTACCACTCACTGCGGGACAGGCCCTATGAGCATGAACATACCTTCAAGGTCAGGCGGATGACGTACCAGAGTGAAGACAGCTGTGGGTTCCATAGCAGGAAGCAGGGCGCCATCAATAAATGGGCAAAGTGGGCCCACAGAAAAGGGGAAAGCACCTCTCTGCCTTGCCAACTGCTATGGAAACAATGCAGTTCAATGTTGCCTAATCTTATTTTTACAGACACATTGAAAGACTGACTTTTTAGGTAAAATTTCTGATTTTTAAATGCCAGAAACGAAATCAATTAAAATAAACATTGTGAGCCAAACAAAATACATTGCTGGACATGGCCACCAGCTATGGCCACTGCTGTGCGTACACAGTCTCCCTGAAGACCCACAGCATTCTGGAAAGTTGTATTATTATCCCCGATAATCCTGATGAGAAAACTGAGGTATAGAGAGGTCACTGCCCCAACAGGAAAGGACAGAACAAGAATTCTAGCCCAGGGCTGTCTTATAGCCAAGTGACTAGTTTGCATTTCCAGGGACCTGAAGCCTGGAAGAAGCTTTGTTCCACAGTCGCCTGCCCATCAAGAAAGGTTCTTTAATGGTATGTCCTTTTTAACTTCTCTTTACTTTAAAAATAAAATTTCTTGTCTGTTTTTAATGCCTTTCTTGCAATAGGCCAGGAAGCAAAAATGACTATTTTAAGCATTCAGATAATCATACTTCCGAGTCAAAGCTGGGGGATCCTCTAACAGTTAAGCCCCTGGCACACCGTTCAGTTCCTGGAACCTTTTCTTCCCCACCACAGGACCAGCAGTATTTCCTACCTACTTAATGGCTGATGCCACCCACTCCTTCCCGAGGGAGTCTAATCATTCAACCAGGCCCACGTTTACGTAGCACTGCAGGGACTCGAAGGTGAGGTCTGCTCTGGAGGGGCTTCCCTACCTCCGATGCATGCCTCCCTTAGTTTATGCACCTGTTGTATAGTATCCCTGTGTCACCAACTCCTCCACAAGACTTTTCTCAGGCACAGGGAAGCCACCCAGGGTGGGCAGTGATTCCACTAACTAAGTGAGGAAATAAAGGAAGAGACAGAGTTCCCTCAGACTGGTATTTCACAAACACTCAACAAATATGAACGCCTCCCTCCTGGAGGCAGAGCTAAGTGTTGGGCCTGTCCTCAGTGAACACACGTTCTCCTGAGCCAGTCTCCATGAGACATTTCCTATGCTGACAAAAACTCCAGCACATAGGCCCTAAGCTTTTTGTTCTTATACACCTTTCGGTTTTCCTTGGAGTTAATACCTTTTTCCCCCCATATGCTTGGTTTTCTATGTCCTACGATTAAATTCATGCTCAGACTCTGACAAAGTACAACTTTCACTAGACACATTCACATGCACAGGACACGGCCTCTGCGTGGACTGCCGCCCTCCCGGGGTCACCAGCACAGGCTGCTCTCACCACGCCTGTCACCATGCCTTCCCCCTGCATCTCCCTGGGGTTTGTCACGGGCCCCCTGCACCCATGTCCCCCTGCCCCTTGGCTCTGCCTATCATTGGATGGTGTACATCCTCCCGTGGCTTCCTGAGAACATGAAAGACGGGAGGGGCAGTGCTTTCAGATCTGCATGATGAAATGTCCTTATTCTCACACCTGGTTAATGGCAAAGCTGAATAACAAATTGTAGATGGAAAGTCTATTTCCTGGAGAACATTGATGGCCTCGCTCCAAGGTCTTCCAGCATCAATTACTATTGGGCGGTCTGATGTCTCCTCCCTGAAGGTTCTTTGTCCCTGATTTCTGAAGTCTCGGGATACTGGGCCTTGCTGCAGGGTTCTTTCCATTCATTATGCGAGGCACCTGGCAGGTCTTGTGACCTAGAACCTTTGTCTTTCAGATCTGGAAGAACTTCCTGTGTCATTTCTCATCCTCTCCTCTGCTGCAGTCCCCTGCACACACGTCCTCCCTCTCTCTGGAGGCTTTGCTGTGTGGATGGTAATGAAATCTTTTCGGTTCAGTTTCTTATTTTCAACTTAGCTGTCCTATTTCCCATTTCTTTTGAGTTTCTGTTCTTTCTGGAAGATTTCTCATTTTACTATCTTCCCTCCACTAAATCTTTTATTGTAACAGTCATATTTCTTTCATTTTCTGCATGTCCTTTCTTTATAGCCTCTTGCTGTGGTTTCATGAATGCAATCTCTTCTTTTCTCTAAGGATTCTTTTTTTTTTTTTTTAAGTTTTTGTCTGTTCCTTACTTTGTTTCTATTTCCTAAGTTTGTTTGTTTGTTTTTATTACATTCACACTGGAGCTTTCCTCAAATGCTGGGTGAAGCACTAAAATGCTACCCCAGAGCCCTGTGTTGTAGGTGTTTTGGAGGGCGGGGAGGAGGACGGGACAGGCTGTCACTGAGTGTACTTCTGTGAAGGGTGAGCAGGCAGGGGCCAGCCATTTTGATGGGAAACCTCCAAATTTCATTATCTAGATGACTTTTCCCTTGGACTGGTCAGTTTCTGCAGAAAAGAAGCCTCTGGCCTCTGGCCTAGGGGACTGTAGGTCTGGCTGTCCTAGGAGCCAAACTGGGATGGCAGTGAGGAGACTCTCACCTTTCAGTGTATGGAGACTGTCACTTGCCTGACCCTGCTGTCAGCACGAGGCCCTGACCCTGGCTGGGTCCCATGTCTGTGCGTCTAGAATCCCTCTGGTGCACTTTCTCTTGGGAGAAACCAGACTTGAGTCTCTGTGGGAAAGGGTTCCTCCTTGGCTGTGCACAGGAGGGGAGGGGGGCAGGGATACGTATGGCTTTTCACACTGACTATTGACCAATTCTCCTGTCTTCAGCTCCACCCACCACTCCTGTGCTTTCAAAGCTAGTGGAATCGCCAAATTTTCAGTGGATGTCAGGTTTTGAGGTATCAATTCGTGGCTATTGCCCTTCACAAGCATTGGGCTTTCCCAGTCCGCTCAGTCAGTTACCGTTTGTCCATCTGCCTTGAGCACCAAGATGTTGTTGATGACTTTCTGCTGTCATTCACCATCCTCTTCTCTTTATATTTAGGGATCTACTCCTTTTATATCCCTTGCCATCCTCAGAGTGGAATTTGAGTTGGGAAGGATCTATCATCTTTTACTGATAGCTCTGACCCTCAGCTTTTTCAATGACTAGTTAATCAGGAAAGGAAAACAGTATGGGACAAAAATCACGAACAGAGAAAAATAAAGGACTAAGGAAGGTTTTAAAAGCTGTCCATTGTCCTTAGTTTAACTTTTTTAGAAGGTTTAAACCCTACTTCTCCTGCTTACAGGTTGCTCAACCTTATGTAAGTTACTCTGCTGTCTGACACGTAAAATAGTGATACTACCTAGATAATGGGATCATAGTGTACTGCAGTGGCTTTAGTGTAAAAAGGACAAGGTGAACTGGCTCTCTGCACACCACGAGTTTCAGATGTTGGATGGACAGCCACACAGAGATGTTTACAGAAGTAAGAACCACTTTCATCGGCAAACACTTCCTGAGCACTTTCTATGTAGAAGATCCTAAGCCAGGCACAGAGGAACAGAGCTGAGAAAATACACGGAATCACCCATAGCAGGCAGATGCGATGAGACAGGCTGGAGCTCAGAAAGGAGGAGTGAAAGCCATCCGTGCAGCCCGGGGAAGAGGGACCGAGATTGCCTTTACCTTTCTTTGTCTTAAAAGGTCCACATTCAGGGTGAATTTCTTGTAAGGGAAGAGACACCACCTTCGCAAGACCAGAACTCAGCATGTACTGGTACAGGCGCTTAAATGTCCTTTCGCACAGTCCCTGCCAAAACAAAATTTAAAGCTACTGTTAGGTTCAAGAAAGGTGTCTAAAACTGCTAAAGAATCATGTAAACGAATACAAGTTCGAGCCCTGAGTTAACTGATCATCTTAAATGAGAACACACTGGCAGTATTAATGAGGAAAGGCTGCTAAACTACATTGTCAAGGAAACAAAATAGGTCCGGAGCAATATACTAACAATTCAACCTTTTGATTCCACGAGGGGGAGAGATTTTCCTAAAGAGATCCTGGAAGGATATAGGGGTGAGAATGAGGTGGAGGGAGGTAAAGAAAGGAGACTCTTCACTATATACCTTTTCATACTGTTTTGATGTTAATCAAGTGAGTGTATTAATTATTAACACACACACACACACCCCTCCCATAGGCAGTGGAACAAAACATAGTTAAAATAGTTTAACATTTTCAGTTTATCTATGCAGTTTCACCACTCAGCCCTCACTCATATTTCTGCAAGGTACAACCAAAATGACTGTACGTGTATCTGAACCGCGGCGGTTACCAACGCCAGCCTCCAGTACTGGCCAAGTTTCTTCACATAAAAATAATTTACTTGCCAACATTGAAGAGCAAGAGATGTCATACAAAAATCCACATTCTGGCTTCTCTTGAAAAACAAGACCTGGCAATAAATCCTAGGACTGTGCTCCATGGCAGCAGCCAGTGGGAGCCGAGGACAGCCGCTCCCGCAGACAGGCCCCCAGTCTCCAAGGAGCCAGCGCCTCACACTCCCATGCGGCCCTTGCACAGTGAGGCTGAAGGTCAGTTTCCATTCATCACCATTTTTGTGTTGCTTGTCCCTTATGGCAGTTAAGAAGAAAATGAAGTATTTCTTGACTCCATGCTGCTATCAATCCACACTTCTCCACTGACCTGTTTGCCTCATTTGGGCCGCCCTCCCTGGCACCTGGTTTTGCAGCCCCTGGAATAGTGAGGCAAGTTACCACTGTGGTAAGTTACGGACTGAACACCAGGAGGCACTCATGACTAAGAGTTGTCAGGTGAGTCCTACAGGTTTCTTTACATTCTAGGAGACAGAGAGGGAGCGAATGTCTGTGGGCTGCTGCCACATAGGTGGAGCGAGCTCGCAGACCAGCCAGCACTCTAGCTGTTGGGTAGCAGAACATATGGCTATCAAAGAGGTACAGACGACTCACATATGGCTCATTCAAACCCACTGGCTCGGAAATGGCATCCATCATTAATCTAGCTGTGCCCCCAGCATCGTGGAAAGACTCTTTGGAAACTCATCCATCAAACCCCAGCCCTCTACATATGGTCCTGAGTCCTGGCCCATACTAAGCAGAGGAGAATGATATAGTCCTGCCTTCTGGGAGCTGCCATGAAGGACTCACACAATCTGCCCAGCAAAAAGAGGCAATAGGAGCCCCTGCACCCAAAGTTATCATCTATTTTCATGTCATCAACCTCATCTACAGGCTAAGTGTTCACTAAATCCTGCCAAGGTCACTCTGACCTCTATTTCCAGCTGTCAAGTGAATGTCCTAGAAGATCCTCATACTTAATAAATCCTAAAATCAAATTTGTCATCTATCTCATCCTCACCAAAAGTGTTCCTTTCTGTCCTCGACTCTATTCATACATTGTTACAAATACTTATTGAGCCTTTACTGTGGGCTAGGCACTCTCCCAGTGTGGAGGGTCCAGCAGTGAAGACACGGTCCCTGGTCTCAGGAGCTGGCCCTCATGTTCCTGTCTACTTCTGTGGGTGGTGCTCATTCACACCAGACAAGACTCCTTCATTCAGCTCTACATCCTGGCTTTGATCACTCACCAAAATGAGTGTCACCTCCAAAATGCCTCCCAAGCATCTCCAGCCAGTCTTCCACTGGGCTCAGACAAGAACATCTACCTTGCTGCCCCACTTCCCATCTCTCTTTGGTCCACCAGTTCATTTCCTGAACACTCTTCTCTTCTGGTAACTTAATCCACTTCGAAACTGCCACCAGCACTTTACCAGGCTAAAGGCTAAAGTCCCAACTCTGACACCTGGTACTCAAGACCTTTCTTATGTGGCCCAACTCTCCCTCCCAGCCGACCTCTAGAAGTCCCACAGCCTCCCAGAGCTCCACACTTGCTGAAGCCATTTCCCTCACCTGAAATGCCTTTTCCTTTGTCTAGTCTGGGAACACCCAAGTTTCAGAGCCCAGTTCTGTCCCTTGCTCTATGACGCTTCCCTCAGCTCTCTGCAGAAAGCACACCTCTCCTTTCACAGAGCTCAGGCACCTCTTTCTAAGCAGCGCCAGCCTAGGTGTGTGCTCACTGATGCCCCTCCAGCTGACTGCTCCAGGCCGGTGTGAGAGCTGGCCTCCTCACTAGCTTCTGTCATCTTAGTGTGGAGCATGGTTCTGACCCACAGTAAACACTAAGTTTTTTGTCGAACGAATAAATGAAACAATATCCTGTAACAGTTCAATCTTGTTGCTTAGATAGTCCATAGTGCTGCCTGTCTCCCCACCTGAATGATTCAGTAGGCAGAGGGTTTCAATCTCCAATGTCTCCATGGGCAGGACAAGAAATACAAAGAACAAAGTGGGCAGATATTTGCTCACGAAGTATGCAGAAATTTTCTTCATTTCTATTAGGGTCTCTCAAGAAGATGCCTTAACAATCTACCTTTTATTTTTCTCCTTTTGAGAGAGACATGATAGAGAACAATTTCTCTCCTACACAAACAGCAGTGTGCACAAGTAAGGACAAATTGCACTGACTGCCTCAATGTCGGAGGCCGCAGAAGCAGGGGCCTTGGGGGAGCTGGCCAGTGCACAGCTAGCTCCAGCCACCTGTGGTCACGAGACTGAAGGCCCAGGCTTGCCAGAGCTTCTGGTATTTCAAGGGAAGCTGGAAACCTAGATATTTTTAGGAAAAATCTCAATTTTTAAAAAATGCCAGGTCAAGTTTCTTTTTAATAATGTACAGGCTAAATATGACCCACACGCCTCAGTTTGTAAGCTCTGCTATAAAGACACTTGGGCATGCAATGCATCTAGCAACAGGGAACAGATCCCCTCTTTCGACGAAAGCAGAGACTAAAACTTCACAGAGGCAGCACAGGGTGAGGCAGGATTATCCTGGTGTCTATAATCAGACTCTAAACCATGTTCCTTTGGAGACTAATTTCTGTTACCCCCAAATCCTGACTTTAATTGTTAAGTTTCAAGTTCTGTTTAACCTACAGGGCAATTTTGTTCTTCTCCCATTTCTAATTTGGCTTTTTCTTAACTGCCACTGAAGACTGTTCGAATCAGGCTGGGAGCAGTATCACCACCATGCTTTCTTCCTCTTTTTCTCACTTCATCAAGGCCTCTGCTCTTGGGCCCAAAGACGAAGTAGGTCAGTAACTGCTTTTCTCCCCAAGTCATCTCACTTCCTTCTTAGTCAAGTCACTGCTATGTCACTATAAATCTACAGAGAACAAAATTACAAGCTGAATTATGAAAGTAAATCTACATGCCCAGATTCACCACTCCACATAAACTTTTATGGCAGGTCTTAGAGTAAATCCCAGGGGAGACTGGAGGTCAGGGAAGGGCAAGAGGGATGTAAGTTAAGGAATGAGCAATTTTTTGTTCTATTAAACAAAGGAAAACCCCACTTGTTTCATAGTTAGAGACAGTCAAGTTCATAGCAGGCTTTCAATTGCAATTCATCCGATCTCCCCTAGACAAAGACCTTCACGCGGGGGTACCGGTAAGCTCAGCACAATGCGGGCGCCCCAGCAGCTCACCAGTTCTTCCCGCAGCTTTCCCAGTGTCTCTATCTGGTTATTCCGTGTGCTCAGCATCCCCGAAAGCTTCTCCATGAGGATGTTGTACTTGCTCCTCCTGTGAGAAACACAAAACGGTTCATTTTTCTCAAACCTACCACTAAAGACCGCCTATTTTTCAAAGCAAGGTTTCAAGCCCAACTCCCAAACTTTATGGCTGGAGAGGCTGGTCATGTGGCCAAGGGCACCTAACTAGTGGCAGTGTACAGACTAGACTCTATGGCTAAAATGCCACTGAAATGATTCTTTAAAATGCATTACATTTTGATAATACCTTAAAGTTTAGATTGATATTTCCTTATCAATCACTCGGTGAAGAAGGACAAAGTCATTCTATAAAGAACATCAATAAGTTAATAAGCTTTCTTAAGATTCAGGCCCATGATATGAACATAAGTCGCCTTCCTCCAATCCAGTGCTCTCCTCACTAGATCGTGACACCACTCAGATCTGAAGCCCTGGTTTCTACTCTTGATTTCACTGGAGAGATGGACCCCTCTTGATGCCACATTTTATTGTGAAGTGGATGTCACAAAAAACGCTTCCAAGCCAAAGGCCACCGAAGGAGCTACTATCGAAGAGAGAAGAGCTCTTCACTGTGTGCCTGGGGGAGGCTGGGAGTGTGCAGAAAGGAGCCTTGTAGCCAGTGTAGCCGGGGAAGGAGGGCTTGGCTTTAACTGCCTACAGGTCTAGGCGTAGGGAGGGCTTACGCGTGGGATCCAGAGACTGCACCCACTTCTCCATTTTCACCACCTCTCAAGGAATGAAAGAATAAATGAAGCACAGATAGTTACTGCAAAGGAACTAGTACCAAGCACTATGTCATGGCCATTATATAGAAGAGTAGACCAGGTGACCCTGTCTAAGTCAGGGCAAAGATTTAAATACAGATTTAGTCCATTGTTCTCTCTTCTACCCATAGCTGCCACCCTGCGTTCTTTGTGGATCATAGGCTATACACCAATTATGAGTTTGACGATAAAGGTATTTAACTGGTGGACAGTATGACTAATTAAAATGCGAATGAATAAAGTATATCTCTCTCTAATGTATTATTTCTAAAACATGGATTTGAAGGCAAATTCAGAGTGACATTTTCTCTCCTGGAAAAGCTTAGTCAACAGTTAGTCTACACATGCACATCAAGCACTTCCTTGGGGCCAAGTCACTGTGCTGTGCAGTGGGTACTACAAACTTTAAAACTTAGTTAATCCTGAGTATTTACGCTACTTCCCTTTTGGAGGGTAGGCCTGCCCACTGGGTAGAGGGCAAGACCTCTGTCATTTGGGGAGGGGAGAATCACATAGTCCCTGTGATCCAGGGAAAGGGTCTGCCAAATGCCCCCCAATTCTCCCTTGACACTGCTCACCTCCAGCATGGAGGGCTGGTGGCCAGGAACTGGGCTCACAGCTGATTCATCCAGGGCACTCATTCCAGGCCTGCATCAGCTTCACCCTACCCCACCCTAGTCTCAGCTCCTCCCACAAAGGAGGGTATGGGGTAGTGAAGCGCAGGCTGAGGCTTCTCTACAGGTTGGCAGAAAGAACATTTCTTTCCCCCATTTCTATGCCAGGTAATTAGTCACCCCAACAGGGAGGATCCAAGAGCCAGACTCACTCCAGAGACTCCCTGGTTCTCAGATGGGAATGTTTTATCAGCTTGAGGTATTGTCTGACTATGATACACAGCTAAATAGCAACATAGTAATCAACTAGTAGAACCTCTCCATCTCAACCTACAAGTTGATTACATGGCTACATGTTACAAAAACACAATTTAAAATTGATACAATTCAGCTTCAACTCAGTCACTATAACAAATCAAACTTGACTTAATTTTATTTTTATATTTCCCCAAAATTTCACCAATATATCAATAATCCCAATTGTTGAGCTGTGGGGTTAGAGGCATTTTTTATTTTTATTTTTTACCTTCTTTTATGTAATTTCTGGGTTTTCTAAATGAGCATGACTTATTTTTCATCATCAGAAATAGATAGTAAATATCTTTTTAAAAAGCTAAAGTAGTGTTTTGATTTGGCCTCTGATTTTTAATGACATAATACCCATGGTCTCATAACTCTCACCTGTCCACATGAAACCGGTTCAGGAGGAGGAGGATTGAGTGTTGCTGGGCTCCAGTGGGCAATCGGATCACATGGGACTGCATTGTGATGAGTCCATTTTTGTTCAGAATCTTCCTATGATAGTGGAGCTTTCCGGCATCAACCCTGGAGGGGAGGACCAGAGTCATTCTGCTTTGTTGGTTACTTTCACTCATCGATGTAGAGAGCCTCTCACCTGGACATGAATGCCAGAGATACACACCTCCCATCCACACAATCTCAGAGAACAATCATTGTGAGGCAATGGTCTTAGAAAGAACAGCCATGCCTTGGCCTAGGAGCAGGACCCAGGCCTCCAGGAGAGATAGGTGGGGAGAAGGAAGTAGAGGCCAGGGCAAATAGAGTGGGAAGGGATTGCTGCCGGGTGGGAGACAATAAGGAGATTGATCAAATACAAGGTGATAACCAAAACATGGACCTCTAATCCTGTATGGCCAATAACTAAGGTAACCATATATCCTGGTTTGCCAGATGGTCCCAATTTGTGCCCACTTCCTTGGCATCTTTTCTGGTCAGCTCCACCTTCCAGTCTTAATGTCTGGTTTGGACAATAAATTATATGGCCACCCCAGGGTCTCTTCAAAAAGAAAGCACTGTACTACTAATCACCATGGTTTGGGGACTGCCAAGATGATAAGGGTAAGAGCAGGGAAGACAAGCCAGTAGGCTCCTGCTCAGACAGAGGACATAATGATCAGTGAGCCCTATCATTTAAAGCAGAGAAGCAGCCCTGGCTGGTTTGGCTCAGCGGTTAGAGCGTCAGCCTGCGGTCCTGAGAGACCCGGGTTCGGTTCCCGCTAAGGGCACGTACCTCGGTTGCAGTTTGTCCCGGGCCCCGGTAGGTCGTGCGGGTGGCAGCCACTCGATGTGTTCCTTTCACATCGATGTTTCTCTCTCTCTCTCTCCGTTCCTCTCTCTCCCTCCCACTCTATCTGAGCAAGGAATGGAAAAATGTCCTTGGGTGAGGATAAAAAAAAAAAAAATTAAAGCAGAGAAGCAAAACATCCCCTTATTTCAGTGATTTTCAACTTTTTTCATCTTACAGCGCACATAAACTACTCAAATTCTGCGGCATACCAAAAAATGTATTTTTTGCCGATCTGACAAAAAAAATTGGTATAATTTTCATTCGTTCCCAGCAGATGGCTATTATTGTGTTGGCCGTCATTTTTTATTTGACAATCTAAGAGAAAAGAGGTCTGTGCCCCTGAATGAACAGTCAGATGTTGCATGTTTTACAAATTCTTGCAATACACCAGTTGACAATTGCTGCCTTACTTGAAAGCAGTGCTGTGGAGGTCTCGCTGGAGCTCCCCCTGCCACCGGGACCGGCCTAATCGCTCCAAAATGCAGTAGGAGAAGTCGGGGAGTTTCAGGTCAGGGTCACCCTCCAAGCCTATCAAGGCTCTGTAACGCATGTCCTGGGAGGCAACGACGATCAGTTTCTTCCCCCACCTGCAAATCAGAAACAGCCACAGGAAGAAATAACTTTTTCATATTAAGAAAATCAAAATATGGAAAAGCAGAGACTTGGAGAATCAACATTTTCTGCTGCTTCTTAGAGGTTCACAATCCCCCAATCAAGCCAGTTTCAGGCATAGTGCTTCTGCATGGTGTTCAGGGTGAGCAAAGCCAGTGCCATCGTTTTTGTGTTTAAACCCTCCCAGGCCTTGCCGGCACTCAAACTGAAACCCCACTCCCCACTGGGGCCTGGAATACCCTACACACCTTCCATGGCTCTGCCTCTGACCCACAGTGACGCTGCTGGTCCTGAAACAAGCTGTTTCCTCTTTCTGGCTGCTCTTCCCCAGGGTCTTCAAGTGACTAAAATGACTGATCCAGGTCACTGCTCAGATGTTAATGCCTCAGGCTTTCCCAGAAATGGTAACCAGAGTCCATTCCCCACCTCTGACCATTATTCCCATATTCTTCACAGCACCTAACACTCTTGGAAATGGAAATATATATAAACATATGTGTGTGTGCAGATAGATAGATAGATACCCCTCACTCACTCACTCCTTGGCTTCGAGATACACCCAATCGGAGGAGCTCCCTTTCCTGGATGAATGAGTCACCCAGGGTCCACCAATGAGGACTCATGGGATTGAGCCAGCACCTACTCATCACAGCCTGCTGTTTACAGGGCCCGACCACAAGGTCTGCCTCCAGTCACATCACTGTCTGCTCTCCTTCCTCCCACCCACTCAGACGCCTTCACTTCTACCACCAACCAGGCAAAAAGAAAAAAGAGGCTGGCCCTGGCCGGTTTGGCTCAGCAGTTAGAGCGTCGGTCTGCGGTCCAGAGAAAAAAGAAGAGGCTGTCTTCATTTTAAGCTTCCTTCAAATTGTTTGTAACCTATACTTAGTCTTCTGCAGAGTTGTGGAAATCTTCAAAAAGATGTGGTTGTGAACACAGTGAAAGACAGTATGCATGTTACAAGCTCAGGACCTATGCTCTCTCATCTCAAGGCAGGCTCATTAAGTTAAACTGGAAGAAATCAGTTGGGAAAAAAAAGTTTGAAAACTGAGGAACACATTTTCTGCTTTAAAAATGTACTGAGGCCCTGGCCGGTTTGGCTCAGCGGTTAGAGCGTCAGCCTGCAGTCCAGAGAGACCTGGGTTTGGTTCCCACTAAGGGCACATATCTCGGTTGCAGTTTGTCTTGGCTCTGGTTGGGTTGTGTGGGAGTTGGCCACTCAATGTGTACCTTTCACGTTGATGTTTTTTTTCTCTCTCTCTCTCCCCCTCCCACTCTATCTGAACAAAAAATGGGAAAATGTCCTCGGCTGAAGATAAAAAATGTACTCAGGTCCCAGCCAGGTGGTTCAGTTGGTTGGAGCATTGTCTGGAGCATCGTCCTGTACACCAAAAAGGTAGTGGGTTCGGATCCTGGTTGGGGTATGTACAGGAGACAGCCAATCCATGTTTCTCTTTCACATCAATGTTTCTCTCTCTCCCTAAAATCCACAAACATATCCTTCTGTTTATAGCTGCATCTCTAGGACCTAGAATATACCTGGCACCAGTTGGCTCCTAAAAATGCATGTTGACTGACTGCCTTTCGGGTTTGAAGTTGTAACCCTGCCTATGTCATAGAATCTGAACTCCCCAGCACGACATTGAAAGGCCATTCAGGATGTGGCCTCCCACTGTCCTCTTGAGCTCTCCCTCCTGCTTTCCAGCTTGCACCACACCTTAGACTTTACGAATATGCCACATCACTTGCCTCCCTGAACAAGCAAGCTCTTTCGTACCTCTGGAACCTTGTGGAAGCTACTTCCTTACCCTTCACCCACCCAGCTTACCGCTAACTCAAGAATCCCGCTTTGAGAGTTTTCCCTAACTGCTATGCACACGCTCTAGTCACACACATAGGCTTGAATTAGGGTTTCTCGTATATGCCATTTAATAGCCTCAACCACCAGAGCAGCTCTTTGTCAGAGCAGTTATTACATCAATCATTGAGTCATTCTCTCGTCTTTCTCTTTCAGTAGACTGTGAGCTCCTTGAAGGTAGATACTATTTGTATTTATCTTGGCATCTCTGGTACTTTGCATGGTGCTTAATCAGTATTTGATAACCTGTATGGTGACCACGGTCTGCAAATCGAGCTTAGCAGGAGTCTTTGCATCAGCTCATTGGAATCGGTGGAATTTGATAATACAGGGCAGTAAACTAATCTGAGTACTTTTTTTTAAATTTATTTTTTAATCCTTACCCAAGGATATGTTTGTGGATTTTAGAGAGAGAGAGGAAGGGAGAGAGAGAAACATTGATGTGAAAGAGAAACATGGATTGGCTGTCTCCTGCACATACCCCAACCAGGTATTCAACCTGTAACATAGGTATGTGCCCCCAACCAGGATCCGAACCCACTACCTTTTTGGTGTACAGGACGATGCTCCAGACAATGCTCCAACCAACTGAACCACCTAGCTGGGACCTGAGTACATTTTTTATCCTCAGCCAAGGACATTTTCCCATTTTTTGTTCAGATAGAGTGGGAGGGGGAGACAGAGAGAGAGAGAGAAAAACATCAACGTGACAGATAAACCCAATATGCCCAGGCTGAAGCACAGTGAAAAGCGTGGCAAGTTGAGGGAACTGAGGTCAGACAGCTGGGTGGGCACTAGCTAGGTTCTAAAGAGCCCAATGGGTCACGGTCAGAGGGCAGGAGGCCGCAGGGCATGGGAACTGGGTGGGACATGGTTCGTGGCTCTCGCCTACATTGTCAAATAAAAACTCAGACCCAGTGCAGCCAGACCTTGTGATGTTTCAAGAGAAGTTAGAAACCCAGAATTTTAAATATTAGCAATGTAATTAAAGTGAGAACAAACAAAACACCATGCTGGATAAATAAGGCATGTCTGTAGGCAGATTAGGTTAGACTGAACCTTTGCCCCGACTGTCCAGGGCACTAAATATCACAATTCCATCTTTAAACAAACAACCCTCTATGCAGTATAGAAAGTTAAAAAAAAAAAAAAGGAGAGAGCAAGACGGGAGATAGTCAGGAGACTAGTGCATTCATCTGAGGCCAAAGGGGGTTTGAGGAAAAGTTAGAAGGTGAACTCCACAGGACTTGGAGGCCAGCTGAATGTAGAAGTCAGGGAGAAAAAGGGCCCAGAGAGAGTTTATGCCTTGGACAGCCAGGGCCCGGGGATACCCCAGTGCCGTCTCTCTCAGCCTGCCAGGGTTGGCACAATGCAATTAACTACAAGCAGACACTGCTTGGAGTGAGGGGGAGCATCACAAGGGAGCAAATGCTCCAGATTTCTGGATGTAGTCTAATTTATTTGCAAAGTGGTTCCCCAGGTTATATGGTGTTTTAGGTAATTACTTCCTTGAAATGGCGTCTTTGTTGACCATATAGCCAAGCTCAGTATATTACTTGTCTAATTTTTTTCAATGGAGAAACAAACAAACAAACAAACAAACAAACAACAACAAAAAAACCCCATCCACACCTGGGCTTTTTTGTTAATTGTTTTTTTGGGGGTGGCATTCCAACCCTTTGACATACAAAACTTATTTATTCACATATAAATACCCTCAAGTTAGACAAAATGACATTCCTACCCTCCAGACAAACCTTATCTATCCATACACATACTTTAATTCTTGACTGACCAAATCACAAAAATACATATCTCAAAATTATATTTTATTCATCCACCAAACCCCCAATTCTACACCCCAGACCAAAATAAATAAACGAAAGCAAAAAGAAAGGAAGAGAAGGTAGGTTTGGGGTAAAGGACAGTGAGTGATGCTCTAGCTTCTGGGCACACTGGGTAGGGGCAGGTTATTGAAACATCACACATAGCACTTGGGAGGAGGTCTGGAGACTGGATAGGGCTGCTGAGAGCAGCCACAGTGTAAGGGGTGAAAGGAAGTTGAGAATCCATATAGGAGCTGGTGAGGATCAGCTAGGAGAACAAGACAAAAAAGGAAGCAACAGGGGGAAAACCTTTAAAAGTCCCTAATTGTGTAGAGGGGTCAAGGAAATTAAGTGTCCAAGGCTTGTTAGTAGGGATCTTAGAGTAAGATTTTGGTGACATGATAAAGGCAGAAATCAGAACCACAGTGGGCAGAGGAGTGGAGCGGAGGTGAAGAGGGAGAAAGAGTGAAGTGAGTGTAGCTACTTCTTCCAAAAACCATGGCTGTAGCCTCAGAGAGAGAGAGTGAGAGAGAGAGAGAGAGAGAGAACGCGCACGCGCGCTACAGTTATAGGGAGTCCGAGGTCAAGAGAAGGTCCTGTTTGTAAGAGGAGCAAATCACATCAATGTACTGAGAAGAGAGCACCGCAGACCAGCAGAAATGGAAAACAAAGGAGAAAGAGGAGCTCACTTGGAGGTAGGAGAGAGCATGAGGGATGGGAGCTGGGCTGGGGAGCAGGGGAGAAAAGAAAAGTATCCTGATCACAGGCCAGTTTTTCATCTCCTCTAAGATGAGGGATGGGGAAAGAAATTTGGGGAAGTCTGCAAGTTCAGGAAGAAGGTAGAAGTTAGGAGACCTCACACTGGTAGCTTCTCCCTGTTTAGTAAAAGAGAGAGAGAGGCGGGAATGGGGGTAGGTAGGGAATGAGAAAACGACAAGCTGGATTAGTCACTCTGGGAAACAGGGGCCCTGAATGAAGACTCACAAAAGGACCGCTGGGCAGCACAGGGCACCAATCCAAAGGACAGCTGCCTGCTCTGCTGACCTGTGCTAGGACTGTGGACACAAAGGGAAAGAATGACAGGCTCTTTTGAGCAGTTAGCCCAAACAGGAGAAGAGTGGAAGTAGAGGACTGGCTTAGTGTGGGGATGATGCACTCTGACAGACACTGAGGCAGACACTGAGGCTGCAGACCAATCCTGGTGCTCTGACTACACCTCAGACGTCAAAGCAAGACGAGTCCCATGAGTTTCTGACAGTGCAAGTCAGTTACCTGCCAAAGGCTTCCACCATTGTACAACGGGGCTGCAAAGACTTGGTTCTGATGTCATTGGTAATGTTTTTCCTCTCTTTAAAGTACCGGCATGAGCCCTGGATGCCATCCTTATTCTCTAAGATCATATGAATGGGGTAGACATCCTCCAAAGGGTCCGGGTCCCGCCTGGACTCCAAAATTCCAGTTTCCAAATCGATTTCTTCATACCTAAGGAGGAAAGCATAAATATCAAGCCATAACTCAGCTTCCAAAAATACAGGCTTGGTGACTTCTAAGAACCTCCTGCAGAGATCAGAGAGAGGGAGTGAGATCACTTAGTTTTTCTGCCTTACAGATTCAGATCATCTTGACATGCAGTATTCTTTGCCCCAGAAAACAGAGACCTTTCTAGGATCCTCCAAATCTACTCCAGAAGCTGAATATTGGAACCAGAATCACCACACTGGCCTGAGTCATGGCCTTATGGGTTCCCTCCAAATCTGGTGCCTAGTCTCCAAACCACTATGTTTAGACTTAATGATTTAAGATTTTTCTCTTTTACGATGTCATCTTTCCATCTCTTTTTAATGATCTCTCTAGTACCTTCATCCATTTTTATGGTTTCAACGACCATTTGCATGTTAACAATTTTCACCACTGAATCCTCAATACCCTCTCCCCACAAACATCAGTCTTGTCTTCAGTTGTCTACTGCACACCTCAAATTCAATGAAATAAAAACCAAAGTTATGACTGCCTCTCCCCACCTCCCATAGCCCCTCCTTGCCCTCCCTGGTACCACATTCTCCCAGATGCCTCTTATCAACACCAGAGACATCTTTGACTTGTTTCTTCTTTCACCCAGTCAGCCAAGTTTGTCAAGTTCTCCTTAGAAATCTTGCTCACATCCTGCACTAGTTGAAGCGAAATCCCATATAACCTTTTCAACTCTTTCTTCCTTGCCCTCTCTGTGAGATCTGCACTATTTACCCCTCCATTCTCAAATCACATCTTCCCCAGCTTCCAGGACAATACTCTGGACTGCTGCTCTCCCTCTCCAACCACATATTGCCAGTCTTCTTTTGAAGGTTCCTAGTCCTCCATCCAGCTTTTAAATGTTGGTGCACCTCAGGGCCATGTCTTAAGGTTTCTAATCCTACTATGCTCTCTCTCATGGATGTTTCTAGCCAACAGCATACAGGATGACTCCACGTGTCTAGCTTAGTCCCTCCCTCTGACCTGCTTTCACTCCCATGAAGCCAGATGTTTACTAAACAGAATCTCCACTTGCATAACCCAAAGGAACCTCAAACACAAGGTGTCTTAGAGTACATTCAGCACCTTCCCCATCTCCCTCCAAACTCGATCACTGTGCTGCTCTACTGTGTTCCCTACTACAGTGAAGGGCATCAGTATTCACCCAAGTGCCCAAACATCAGGAACCAAAGGTTCACCATCCTTGATTCCTAATTTTCCTTATACCCCACATCCAATCAGTCATCAATCCTCTTGATTCTTCTGCCTCGTCTCTTCATTCTCAACCCCTATGGTAAGCTAAACCATAATTGCTTGTTCATGATTGGATTGTTACAAAGCTCTAAACTTCACTCTTCGCCCCTAATCTAACCATCCCTTGAGAGGCTTCCAACTGTCCTTCTGATAAAGGGTAAACTCTTTAAGGGGAAAGACCATTGAATACTTCTCCAGACCAATCTGGTTAAGGACGAAGTGTGTTCTGTACCCAGGCTTCTGGATTCAAATTCTGAGTTACATCCTCACTAGTTGTTGACCTTGAACAAATCACTTAACCTCTTTGGTGCCTCAATTTTCTCTTCAGCAAAATGGGGATGATAATACCTACCTATTATGGTTGTTGTAAAAATTAAATAACTTGCTATATGTCAGGATTTTAGAACAGTCCAGTTCACGTAAGAACATATATAAGTGTCAACTACTATTCCTCATTCTCTTCCTCCAGTATTATACTCCAATCAAACTTATTTCTCTTCCTTCAGGCTTTCACATTTGCTGTTCTCTGTTCAGAATACTCTGCCAACTGGCCAACTAAATCCAAGTCTTGATTTGGACAGTATTACCTCTGGGAACCTGTCCTCTTCCTTACAGTACGGCTTAAGAGCAAAGACTCAGCTCTGGCCAGTTTGGCCTGCGGACCAGAGAGTTCTAGGTTTGGTTCCCGCTAAGGGCATGTACCTGGGTTGCTGTTTGTCCGCGGCCCCATGGGGTTGTGTGGGTGGCAATCAGTCGATGTGTCTCTCTCACATCAATGTTTCTCTCTCTCTCTCTTCCTCCCTCTCTCCTTTCCACTCTATCTGAAGATAAATGCAAAAATGTCCTCAAGTGAAGATAAAAAAAAGAGCAAAGATTCAGAACACAGATGGCTTGGGTTCAAATCAACACACAGACACTTATAATCTCCATAACTCTGGACAGATTATTTATTATCTCTCCATGATTCAGTTTCCTTTTCTGCAAAATGGGCAAGATAACAGCACCCGCTTGAGAGAGGCACTGTGAGAATGAAGTGAGTTTAATCTCCTGAAGCTCCCAGAATAGGATCTTAGAATAACACCAGGCCAATAATAAGCATTGAATAAATTTTACCTATTATTATTATTGCTGAGCTTGTTGTTGTACAGATCTCATTCCTTTTCTGTCTCCAGTCTTTTTAAAAAAACTTATTGATTTTAGGAAGAGAGGAAGGGAAGGAGAGAGGGAGGGAGACATCGATTTGTTGTTCCACTTATCTATGGGTTCATTGGTTGCTTCTTGTATGTGCCCTGACCGGGGCACACGGGGACAAAGCTCTATCCAACTTAGCTACCCGCCAGGCCCTGTCTCTAGTCTTGATCTGAACTGCTTTCCCAATCCAATCCTCCCCTCCACTTTATGTGGATGAAATATTCTTTGAACCTTGAATAATATTTCCCCAGTCCTGCTCACCATCATCCTAAACTTACACACGGACATAATAGGACACCAGATGATTCCCAACTCTATCAGACGCCTTGGCCCTGCCAGGCATGAGGGACCCCAAATCAGCTTTACACAGCGCCCCCCATTAGACTTGGTTTTTCCACCGCCCCACTCCTTTCTCCCACCTTCCTTCCATCAGAACCTGGTCCCCTCCGGCTCTATCAGTCCCCCGGCTCTGGGCCTGCTCGCCCGCCCGCCCGCAAGGCCAAGCCGCTGACCGGTCCTGGAGCTGGAGGTCGGGTCGCTCGCGAGGCTCCTCATAGAAGCTGATGCCCGGGTGCGTAGCAAGGGCCCTCCACAGAAACTCCTGCGTGTAGGGCTCCAAAGGCAGAGGGAAGGGCGGCACTCGCGTCTCCAGACGGCTCCACAGCGCGGGCAGAGACAGGCCATCAAGCCCCTCCAGGGCCACCTCGTCCAACAACGACTCCAGCGCGTCCATTGCTACTTCAGTTAGCGGCGACCTGGGCGCCTGCGCACCAAGCCGCCAAAGACCCGGGTCCAGCGCGTCTGCGCACAACAACCAGCAACTCTGGAGGTGGGTCGGACCTGGCGATCGAAGGAGGAGTTCCAGAGCGCCTACGTGACGTCACTCTCCTTGTGGGCGGGCCCAGTCAGTGAAGCTCCACTGCCATTGGTCCGGAACCCCGCCGTAACCAGGGGAACTGCAAACATTGCAGAGACCGCTTCCGGTTTGAGCACCCGGAACCACCGCCTCTAGGGATGGACGGTGAGTGTTCGTTGGCTCTTCTGGGAGGTCGGGGAGTTATTCTCCCGTCTCTCCTGAGGTTCCCTCTTCCCCCGACCGCCCCCGGCGGACTGTTAAACCACAAACCCCCGGACCTCCACTGACTCACCCAAGGTGGTCTCCGGCCTGAAAGAAAGGAAGCCTTAGTGGTCAGGGGTGGGAGAAGAGGCTGGGAGGAGTGGTCGGTGATTGGCCTCTGTGTCGAGCTGTGGTCGTGTAGGAACCTGGTACTGGCCGGGGGCTCAGTGAAGGGGTTTAGGTAGGGAAAGGAGAAGTAGACGTCTGAAGTGGGTCTTGTGTGTCCTAGGATGTGGACCTGTCGGATATGGGAGTTGGTATGGCGGTAAGCATCGTCTTGGGGAGTGCAGTCAAAACCTACTGGAAAACGGGACTTGGTAAAGGGAGGGGAGGGGAGACTAGGGAATACTCTCTTCTGGGCTTCGATGTTAATAATTTGTGCTGTTCAGTGCCAGGAACTCTGTGCTGTCAAACAACACCTTTCCAAGCTTCGTAATAGCCCTTTGAGTTGAGTGTTGTTATCCCATTTTACAAATGAGGAAACTGAAACTCAGAGAAGTTAAATAACTTGCTCCAAATCAGCCAGCCAGCCAGCCAGCCAGAAAGGAGCCCAGTCACTCTGTCTCTGGAGCTGAATTGTGGAGTTTAGAGGTCCTTCCTTCCAAAGGTTGCAAATGCAGATATCTGCAAGGGCAAGTCTGGTGGGCTGGATTGGGCTGTGACTGAAAATCAATCCTTCTGAAAGGGGCAGGGGCGGGGAGGGCTTCTCACTCACCTGAAACCAGTTGTTTTCTTGGGCCACTTCTCAAAATACCCTGAGGGCAATTCTGTCTGAATGCCAGATGCAAGCTTCAGGCCACCATTTAGGGATCCCTGATTAGAATCATGGAGTTGACTATTGGAAGCAATCTAAAAATAGGCTACACTGGTATCTCATTTTGTAGATGGAAAGGATAATGTCTAGAGAGACTGGTAGACTCTGTGTTGGAACCTAGATAATTTTTCTCATTTTACCACTGTCCCTCACTAATGGTGAATGTGTTCCTTTTTGATATCTACTTAATGCAGCGTGGAAAAAAAATTTTTAAATTCACAGTCTGTTGTTATGTGCCTAAAAGACATCTTTGCCCTTTGTATTCAAAGTTACTATAAAACGCCATTTGCCAGATATCCCTGTAGAAAGGTCAACATAATAACTGCTATAGAACAATTCTCAAGTCTTTTTGGTCTCAGGATGCTTTTATACTCTTACTTGAAAAGAACTATGTTTAAGTATATAGTATGTTGAGGATATTTATCATATTAGAAATTAAAGCTGAGAAAAATCTTAAAACATTTATTGATTAATTCACTTAAAAATAACAACCCATTACTTCTGAATATAAATAATACTTTTAATTAAAAACAGCTATAATTCTCCCCCAAAATTAGTAGGAATAGTGGCATTATTTTACATTTCCCCACATTTCTTCAATGTCTAGTTTAATAGAAAATAGCTAGACTTTTGCCCTGGCCGGGTTGTTTGGCTCAGTTAGTTGAGCATCGTCCCATGAACTGAAGGGTCACTGGTTCCATTCCTGTTCAGGGCACAAGCCTGGGTTTCAGGCTTGATCCCCAATCAGGGTGCTCATGGAAGGCAGCCAATTGATGTTTTTCATGTTGCTTCTCTCTCTCTCCTTCTTTCCTCTCTCTCTCTCTAAAATCAATAAAAACATATTTAAAAGAAAAGAGCTTAGCTCTCATTTTGGCTTCAGCAACCAGACCGTTGTGCTGTTATTTTGGCTGATATGTATGAAAAAATCAGGCCTCACACAGGTATACAGTTGTAACGGAATATTTTAATTGCCTTTTTCTGATAACTGTTTTGTGCTCTGTTACATTAAAACCCATTTGTCTATTTTGCTGTTCCATTGGATATTTTCCCATGTGTGATTTTTATAACAGGCCTTGGTCATTTGGAAAATGTTACTTAAGTGAGTTACGCAAATCTTCCAAATGTTGATCTTGGAAATTTCATTACACAGCATCAAATGGCAGATTATTACACAATATAAAAAAGCACATTCATTAATATCTCCACCTATCTCATTTTTTAATTGAGTTTAAGAGTTGGGAAGCTATTAAACTCAAGGTAATGGAAACAAGTTTTCTATTTTGAAAGCTTGAATTATCGTTGGCAACAGATATTGTCAGTTTTTCCCTGAAGTAAAAGGCTTACTTTCGTATTTGAAAAAATGTCTGCCAAACCACCCAAGTGTGAATAACTATAGTTTGTCCTTTCAAGTAAAAATGACATTCTTTTTTGTTCCTTTTTATTGAATTTATTGGAGGTGACAATGGTTAACAAAATTATACAGATTTTATGTGCACAGTTCCACAACACATCATTTGTACACTCACTGTATTGTGTTCATCTCCCCAAGTCGTCTCCTTCATTCAACATTTAGCCCTCCTATACATTCCTCCATCTCCTCACCACACCCCTCCCCCAGCAGTCACCATACTATTGTCTTTGTACATGAGTTTTTTTTCTCTTTTGCTCAATCCCTCTACACCCCCCAACCAGCTCCCCAACAACCCCCTTGACAGCTGTCAGCCTGCTCTTTATGAATTTGTCTCTATTTTTGTTAGTTCATTTTGCTCATTGGATTCCACATATGAGTGAAATCATATGGTACTTGCCTTTCTTTGTGTGGTTTATTTCACTTACCCGAATGCTCTCCAGGTCCATCTATGTTGTCGCAAAAGGTAAGATGTCCTTCCTTTTTATGGCCAAGTAGTATTCTATTTTGCAAATATACTGTAGCTTTTTTACCCACTCATCTACTGATGGACATTTGGACTGCTTCCAAATCGTGGCTATTGTCAATAACTCTGCAATGAACATAGGGGTACATATATTTTTTCAAATTAAGTGTTTTGGGTTTTTTTGGATAAATTCCCAGAAGTGCAGTCACTGGGTCATAAGGCAGTTGTATTTCTAATTTGTTGAGGTAACTCCATACTGCTTTCCACAGTGGCTACACAGATCTGGATTCCTACCAACAGTGCTTGAGGGTTCTCTTTTCTCCACATCCTCACCAACACTTACTTGTTGATTTATTGATGATAGCCATTCTGACAGGTGTGAGATGATATCTTACTGTGATTTTAATTTGCATTTCTTTGATGATTAGTGATTTTGGGCATCTTTTTATATGTCTATTGGCCATCTGTGTGTCTTCTTTGGAGAATTCTCTATTCAGTCCCTTGCCCATTTTTAAATTACACTGTTTGTTTTTTGGTGTTTGAGTTTTTTAGGTTCTTTATAGATTTTGGATGTTAATCCCTTATCAGGTGTATCATTGGTGAATGTTCTCCCATTCAGTGGGCTGTCTTTTTATTTTGTTGATGGTGAGCAAAACCTTTTAAGTTTGATGTAGTCCCATTTGTTTATTTCTTCTTTTGTTTCCCTTGCCTGAGGAGTTATATCAGAAAAAATATTGCTACAAGAAATGTCCGAGATTTTACTGCCCTTCTTTTCTTCTAGGATTTTTATGGTTTCAAGTCTACATTTCAGTTTTTAATCCATTTTGAGTTTATTCTTGTGTATGGTGGAAGAAGGTGGTCTAATTTCATTTTGTGCATGTATCTGTCTAATTTTCCCAGCATCATTTATTGAACAGACTATCTTTATCCCGCTGTATATTTTTGCTTCCTTTGTGAAATGGTAATTGACAGTGAAGGTGTGGGTTTATTTCTGGGTTCTCTATTCTGTTTCATTGATCTATTTGTCTATTTTTATGCCAGTACCATGTTGTTTTGATTACTATGGCCTTGTAGTATAGTTTGATATCAGGTAGTATGATCCTCCAACTTTATTTTTCTTTCTCAAGATTGCTGTGGCTATTTGGTTCCATATAAATTGTTGGGATATTTATTCTAGTTCTGTGAAATATGCCATTGGTGTCTTTTTTGTTGTTATTAATCCTTACCTGAGGATATTTATTCATTGATTTTTAGATAGAGTCGAAGGAAGGGAGGGAGAAAAAGAGAGAAACATTGATGTGAGAGAGACACATCGATTGATTGCCTCCCCCACAACCCTGACCAGGGCTGGGGATAGAATTTGCAACCCAGGTACATGCCTTTGACTGAGAATCAAACCCAAGACCCTTTGGTCTGTGGGTTGAAGCTCTTACTGCTGAGCCAAACCGGCTAGGGTTGCTGTTGATATCTTGATAGGAATTGTGTTGAATCTATCTATAGATTTATATGGATAGTTTGGATGTTTTAATGATGTTAATTCTTCTGTGAACATGGTATATGCTTCCACTTATTTGTATTGTCTTCAGTTTTTTTTTTTCTTCAGTGTCTTATAATTTTCCAAGTACAGGTCTTTTACATCCTTGGTTAAATTTACTCCTAGGTATTTTATTCTTTTTGAAGCAATTGTGAATGGGATTGTTTTCTTAGTTTCCCTTTCTGATAGTTCATCATTGGTGTATAAAAATGATTTTTTTTTTTTTTTAATCCTCACCAGAGGACATTTTTCCATTTTTTGTACAGACAGAGTGGGAGGGAGAGAGAGGAAGAGAGAGAGGGAAACATCGATGTGAAAGGGACACATCAAGTGGCTGCCACCCGCACAACCAACCAGGGCCGGGGACAAACTGCAACCAAGGTACATGTCCTCAGCGGGAACTGAACCCGGGTCTCTCCAGACCGCAGGCGGACGCTCTAACCGCTGAGCCCAACCGGCCAGGGCTAAAAATGATTTTTTGATATTTATTTTGTATCTTGCTACTTTAGTTAATTTATTTATCATTCTAGTAGTTTTTGTGTGGAATCTTTAGGGTTCTCTATATACAATATCATGTCATCTACAAATAATGACAGTTTTACTTTTTCCTTTCCAAGTTGGTTACCTTTTATTTCTTCTTCTTGTCTGATCGCTGTGGCTATGACTTCCAGTACTATGTTGA